TATATATATGAGATACCCCTGTGTATGTTAGTTTAAGCATACACACCATCATGTCCATCTCTAATATATCCTCGGTTGTCCTGTCCTCGCTCGTTTTCTGTGGCAGGCGTCCCATTCTGGGACTGGATTCGTGCCCTGAAACGGAAGCCCAGACCTGTTAACAAGCCACTCACAGTAATAAAGGTTGTCAAAGAAATTGTTTCCTCAATTTCACATTACTGTGGATTTTCAGTCCCTGTAAAATTCAAAAGCTAATTTCTCACCTCCTGATCTCCTCTTGGTAGCTTGACTCTGTAGAAAAGAAACAATAAAATGAGCTGATTACAATTTAAGACCAGAATTACATCAGTAATTTAAGATGCTTGGCTAGGTCCAGTTAGCGTAACGCAATCTGGCTGCAAAAAGTATTTTTTGTCGGATGCACGTACTAATGCAAATAATCTGGCTTACATTGGGAAAATTGGGATTCATCCCCTCAAATACTCACTTTTCTTCCTTCTCATGCAGAAGAAAATAATTCCGTAGATGATTAGAAACAATAGAGCCGCAGCGCTGAAGGCCACAGTGATAGCGATCAACACCGTCTGGTCTCTTTTAGCAAGCTTTTCTTGAACAGAAACAGATAAGGGAATCATGCATCCTCTTCATCTTGTGCCAAACAGGACAGCAAAGTTATCATTGCAATTAGCTCTGATTATAATATTAAACTTTATGTGGCTGGATTGGTGTTTGCAGTGCCCTCTATCTGTTGCCGAAAGGAACTCTTCTCATTTGTGGGTGGAATTAAAAAGGACCCTGTTTGTTGTACTATGTTTAGAATTTCCGATTCTGTTTGTGTTTATCATTGGAATAGAATTGATCATTTGTGATCTTTTATCATTTCTGATCACTCATAAAAATAAAAACATGTTTATTGTTCTTACCAACGGTCAGAAAGACAGTGCTGCTGTCCGGTGTGCTCAGGGCAGGTACCTTGACCAGACACTGAACAGAAGAATTTTTGACGGCAGTGATCGTCAGCGTGCAGTTGGAGTTAAACAGATTTCCCTGTGTTACAGAGCTTCTGTTGCAGGAATTTGCCACTCCATTTACAGACCAGGACATGTTGGGTTCAGGAAACCAGCCCACGGCCCGGCACTGGAACTCCGTCTGAGCTCCTTCCGTTTTGTTCTGATTTCCACCTACAATCTCCACACTGCCACGTTCTGGAAAACAACAGAGCAGAATTATCTCTTCGAACACACACTCTGCCTTAATCACTATGGATTTGTGAGTTTGCTTTAATGACGGTTGGGCCTGTCTTGAAACATGGTCCACGTTAATTAAGAAGTAGATTATTATTGATTATCTGCACTTTGAGATGTAATCGGATAATTTCCCATGGGACAGCAGGACAGGTGACTCACAGGTGTGGCTGATAGGTTTTGTTTTGCTTTGTGCTGCACTTTGTACTTTTTGTGGTCCATCATAAAAGCGCCGACAGATCTTATAAAGCAAAACTCCATTCACTTACAGTGTATCAAAGAATGAAGAAATTATTTAAATATACATGCTTGCTAAACTGCCATATTTTGTGGTTATGTTGGCCTTCTGTTGATACATTTTAAAGCTGAAATGTCTGATACTGAATATTCTGACACAATATATAAAAAATAATAATTTATTATAATAATGATTTATTATGAAAGTTAAACAAGCACCTGGAACCATGGATCATGCACCTGACAAAAAATGAGCAAAATTAACTTGCAACTGTTTAGATGTTTAAACGAAACGACTTGATTTATTGTCTATTTATTTTGGAATCAATTTAAAGAGAAATATAAATATATTTTGAATAGTTTTAAAAAATGTATGATTTATTTATTTATTTATTTCATTTTTGTAATTAATCAAGCTATTGTGCAATTTAAAAACATCAAAGATACAAATAATGAATAAATAAAATGAATACATGATAGATAGATAGATAGATAGATAGATAGATAGATAGATAGATAGATAGATAGATAGATAGATAGATAGATAGATAGATAGATAGATAGATAGATAGATAGATAGATAGATAGATAGATAGATAGATAGAAAGTAATATTGAATATCATCTGGATTGGGAAGAATTTGGTGAGAAATATTTGAGTTACTTTTAAGATGTTTGACTTTATGTATCATGGCAAGTCTGAGCACAGTTTGGAATATTGTTGAGATTTCTTGAAATGTGAAATTATTAGGGAGTCTCCATTTGGTCGCATTTTAATTTTGTTGTCTAGGAGAAACAATAACTCCTGTTATTTAGTTGATATATATTTATTTGATCCACAAAGGTTATTTTAGTGCTGATGAGGGCATCTGGGAATGTTCTAGCCGAATTTTACACTCTGTCATGCATAAAACTGCTGAGTAATGTTTAAAGGTTGTAAAGATCAGCATATCGATTTAGGTGCTGGAACTCACTTAGGCTCAAAGATGAAGCCTGAAGCAAGAAGGTAGGTGCTGTTGAAGAGTGTTATTTAACATTCAAACCATGACAAATATCATTAAGGTTGCAGCTTTGCATCTGAGAAGCAGTAGCTACATTAAAAATAAAAATAACATTAGTTATAAAGCTTAAGGGAGATCAAATCATGCTTTTGTGTTTGTCTGCTTTTAATTGTTTACTTAAAGTCTTGTTTAATGTTCTTAAAAAGACTGGATCATACAGTTCAAAGAGATTCAGCAGTCCCCATGCAAATACACTTTCAATTTTCTTTCTTGAAGTTCAGGGTCAGTACATTTTTAAAATGTTTTTCAAATAAGTCTCGTATGCTCACAAAGACTGCATTTAAGTTGTTCAAAAATGTCGTAAAAGCAGTAATATTGTGAAATATTTTTACAAGTTCAATTAACTATTTTATATTTTTTAATCATTTAAAGTTAATTCGAATATTATCAATGTTGAAAACATTTTTCAGGATTCTTTGATAAACAGAAAGTTCAAAAGCAGCATTTATTTGAAATAGAAATCACTTTTAATCAGTTTGCATCCTTGTTTCATAAAAGTATTCCCCAAACTTCTGTCTGTCTTTAAATATATTTTTTAAATGGTCTGCTTTAATTATCTGTAGCTGCTCTGTCTTGATCACTTTCTCTCGTATACTCTCATATTTCATTCTCAGTCATATTTCTATAGTCAAAACATTTTACGTCATGTGGCATGGATCAGTTCAAATGAGACACAATAGAACTTAAAACACTGCTTACCTTGTACAGACAGTGTGGCCAATCGAGGCTCTCCACCCAAAACCTGACAGGTGACTTCCCCCGCATCGTCTCTCTGCACATTGCTAATTATAAACTCCCATTTGTAATCTCCAGGCGTGGTGAAATTTTGGGCAGAAAAGCGATCTGTGCTGTTAAACACCCCAGATGCTTCCAGAATGGTGATAACCAAGCGTCCATTGACCATCCAGTTCATGACAAATGGGGGCTGAGTTGTGCTGCAGTTGAACCGAGCCTGCGAACCACGGAGCACCGCTGCATTTAGAGGCTGTAGCTGCACCTGAGCCGAGGCCACTGCAGTGAACAACACACAAGTAACAAATTATTCCAAACACTTCCACGGAGTTAAATCATATTTAAAGGAAATGAGCATTAAGGGTAATTATTGGTATATTTTATGCTTTTTTCCCCCTCTTTTGAAATAAAATAAAAGAGCGTTAACTTGGAGCTGAGCAAAATTAGATAATATACAGACCGGGGCTAGTTGTCACAGTGGCTATATCTCAGTAAATATGAGATTTTGAGTGATAAGTCAATAATGAAATACACAAATTTGTGGGTTTTGTGTGTGTTTTTGTTCTAGCAGTGAACGTTTGTGAAATTTGTCCTTCAATCTGAAATGAACTAAATAAATGAAGCTAAATAAAATATTCTAACCAGTATCATTATATTATTGTGCATTTCTTAAATGACAAGTTGCCACACGTTTTACATTTTACAAATTTACACAAGTTATTAATTACAATACTTGTTTTTATTTTGCTTTTTAATGGCAGGTTTCATCATCTCATTTCATTAGAGGGAGGTCTCAACATATAATGTTACAAAATCATATATAAACCTACTCTGAGAAATATTGACTGGAACACACACACACACACACAAAACAACTCTGAGAACACCTTGGGCCTGTACCATGAGGGTAATTAAACAAATTCAGAGCTACAGAATGTTTCGAATTAACAAAACCAAACCACTCCAGTCCGGCTTTGTTGGTACCATGATGCTGATCATCAACTTTCTTTATAAACTCAGGCTTTGATCCTGAGTTTAATAATAATAATAAAATCAGAAGCAAACAGCCAATCACATGTCTTGCAACACAGAGCAAGTGTGATTCAGTTCTCAGGAGAGAGCCAGCTAGATTTAAAACTCTGCTAAAGAAAGTGAAAGAAAGCTGAAAAAAATACTGAAAAAAAAAAGAAATGATCTTGCTCTAGTGCAGTCACCAGTGAAACTTGTGAAGTTAGTATACAGTGGGTATAAAAGAAGCACCCTCCTTTAAAATAATCAAATTTTGTTGCTTTGCAGACTGAAATGAAGACAGACACCATTTTTTTATCCAGCTGTATTTGCTCAGTGCAACTTATCATCCAAGTGAAAGATATGACACCAACATGTCAGAAAAAAAACAAAACAGAATCACTGAGATGGAAAAAGGATCACCCCCCTTGTGTCAGTATTTTGTTGAACCACCTTTTGCTTTAATTACAGCCTTTAGTCTGTTTGGATATGTCTCTAAACTTTGCTATATTTGCCCAATTTGATGGTGAGTGTTTGTGGACTGCAGTCTTCAAGTAATTCCACAGATTTTCAATGGGGTTTAAGTCTGAGCTCTGACTGGGCCATGCAAGGACATTCACCTTTTTCTCCTTCAACCACTGTGTGCTCAGTTTTGCTGTGTGCTTTCGGTCACTGTCATGTTGGAAGGTAAACTTTCTTCCCATAGACAACTTTCTGGCAGAGGGCTGCTGAGTTTCCTCAAGAATTTAACTGTATTGTGCCCCATCCATTTTTCCTTCTATCCTGACAAGTGCTCCAGTCCCTGCTGCAGAGAAACACCCCAGAACAGGATATTACCACCTCCATGCTTTACTGTAGGAATGCTGTTATTTGGAGCAGTATTGGATTTTCGCCAGAGATAGCGTTTGGTGTTGAGGCCAAATAATTCAAGTCTCATCAATCAATTTTAGTCTCATCTGTCTCAGAATATTCAAGGTGTGTTTTGGCAAAGCTCAGTTGTGACTGCATGTGGCCTTTCTTGAGGAGTGGCTTTTTTCTTGCAACACTCCCATACAAGCATTTGTGGAGAGTTTGTGATATTGTAAGTACATGCACACAATGGCCACTCTTTGTCATAAATTCCTGCAGCTGCTTCAGAGTTGCTGTAGGCCTCTTGGTTGCCTCTCTGACCAGTTTCCTCTTGCTGTTTCATCCAATTTGGAGCGACATCCTGATCCAGTGAGGGTCTGTGTTGTACCAAATACCTTCCTCTTCTTAATAATAAACTTTACTGTGCTTCTAGGCATTGATAAAGCCTTTGAATTATTTTTTGTATCCATAGTAATATCCTATCAACCACCCAAAACATCCCAACAACTGCATAGCAATGCACAACAACTAGGCTTCTCAGAACTCCCTAGCAAAGTCATAGCAACAACCTAGAAACCTCCACGAACACCATAGCAACCACGCAGAAACACATGAAACCCACTCAGAATTCCCAAGCAAATGCAAAACACCCAATAAACAACCCAGAACACCTTCACAACCATATAACAACATACTAAAAACCCCTTACACCCTAGCAAATGCATAACAACACCCTAAAACCACCAAGAACACCTCAACAACAACATAACACACTAAAACCCCTCACACCCTAGCAAATGCATAGTAATACCCTAGAACCCAAACAGGGGCCAGTTAACTTAGCCTCTATGTTAAGAACTAGTCTGACCAACTAGTAGTTAGCCAAGGGGTAATCAGTCTTATTTTTGGATTAAACTTAGACTAAAAAAAAAAGACTAAGAAGAAAATAAGACTTTTTATGCAACCAGCCCCAAAGCACCCTAGCCACCACAAAGTTCTTCTGGAATTCTTTGTAAGTAAACGCACATAGAGATTGGCAGCACGTTGGTGTTTAGCATGTGAAATAAAGCAAACACTGAGGACATGGTGCTCATGAGTTGTTAGGACCTCATTGTACACTTGTGTTATGTGTTTTCTCAGTGACGTGATCACATGCACAATGATCTCACCCTCACATGTATGTTTAGTTAGCAGCTTTGTAATCAAGCATGGCACTGATCACTTCAGTGCCCCTTTCCTTCCTGTCTTAACTGAAGTTTAAGGATAGCAACAGTCTTCAATTGTGACCTGTTATCTGAAACTCAGTGGCCACACCTACTACACCCACCCCCCATCCCATTCCTGCAGGAACATACAGACATGGGAGAACTTCATGGGGGAGGGGACTTCAGTTGCTGGTAGTGGTTGTGAAATTGCAAGGGTCTGGATAAGGAGATAGCAATGTAGTTAAAGACATGACTGATTTTCATGATGATGTGGACTAGGAAACTACAGGAGCCCTAGAAATGGGGACCTTAGACATAAACATTCCACTTATGCCTTATGAAATATTTAGTTCCACAAATCACTTTTTATACTATATTTATTGAAAACCAACCATTTACTGGTGCTTTGGAGAAACCAGGAGATCTTCACAAGAAGAACCTGTAGTGTAACATCAAGACTTTTTTTAACCTCAAAAGAATCGTAGCAAACTCAAGAACATTATATAGCAAAAATATGGTACTTGATAAGAAAATGTTCTTTGCTGAAACCAATGTGCTGAAAACATCCCAGTTCTTGCATGGCCAGCATAATCATCGGACATGTCACCCATTGAGCATGTTTGGGATGCTCTGCATCGGCGTATACGACAGCGTGTTCCAGTTCCTGCCAATATCCAGCAACTTCGCACAGCCATCGAAGAGGAGTGGACCAACATTCCACAGGTCACAATCAACAACCTGATCAACTCTATGCGAAGGAGATGTGTTGCACTGCGTGAGGCAAATGGTGGTCACACCAGATACTGACTGGTTTTCGGACCCCCCGGACCCCCCAATACAGTAAAACTGCACATTTTAGAGTGGCCTTTTATTGTGGCCAGCCTAAGGCACACCTGTGCAATAATCATGCTGTCTAATCAGCATCTTGATATGCCACACCTGTGAGGTGGATGGATTATCTCGGCAAAGGAGAAGTGCTCACTAACACAGATTTAGACAGATTTGTGAATAATGTATGAGAGAAATAGGCCTTTTGTGTACATAGAAAAAGACTTAGATCTTTGAGTTCAGCTCATGAAAAATGGGGGCAAAAACAAAAGTGTTCAGTATATCTATATATATATATCTATATAAAACTTGCCCCTTTTAGACTTGCACTCTATTCATTTACTAACTGCTTGTTTTCTTTAAAACAAACACTAACTTCTCTAACCTTTTTGTATACTATCTATTTGTTTTCTTTTTATTTATTATACAATTAACAAAAGCAAAAAAAATGTCTCTAACACTAGCTTGCTCTATTCTTTTTCTATTTTATCTGTTTTCTTTTTATTTATTATATACATTTAAAAAAAAAACTTGCTACGTGTACTGTGTTAAGCTAACTGAGACTTAGCACTTGCATATCATTAAAAGCATCTGCTAAATATAAATGTAATATACAACATACTACTTAACATCCCTGATAGCACATATACATCACGGAGACGTCTACTTGTATACAAAAATATTATTATATTTATTTACATCTGCAATATGTCTGCAAGACATATTTTTTAGTGTTTGCTCATCTGCAATGCGTCTATTGGACGTTTCCTATTAGATGTCAAATAGACATTTAGAAGACGTCTTTAAGATGTTTAGGATTTAGAATGTATGTAAAACTGACATCTAAAAGACATATATCAGATGTTTGTACACAGCAGATGCTTTCCAGATGAAGCGATCTTTAACGGACATCTTGTAGACGTAGGCTATGTGTGCTATCTGGGATCCTATACTATATAATTACTACTTAATAAATCTACGCAAAAGTCTCCCAAAAGATTTAAATGTGGCCAAATATTCAGCATTCTGATTCTACCTTTTTACAATAACTATAGAAATTTCCGTGTATTTTTGCAATTTATTTAAGAAATGTCCATTAGCTTTCTCAGGTTTTCCTTAAGAATATATAATTATTATTACTATTATTTTTGTTATTACTTGTCAAAATGCTATGTTCTGCTTTTAATATTTCCATTTTGGCATGATGTTCTGTTATATTTATAAATCCAAGTGTTAACATAATGTTATAAGACACTTTATAAGATATATATTTTTAATAACATGGATTTTTTTCCCACTTATTTATATTTTAAGCATTTTAACACTAAAAGCAAAAACAAAACACCTAAACAAAATAATTAAAATGGCACAGGAGCTGCAGCTTCATTCATTTTGC